CAATAACAGTAGCATTAAGTACAGCCTAGCTACTGAGAAACTGTGGTAATTATTAACCTTATACCTTTAATCATAGAAGCAGATTCTACAGTTATGTAACAGAATATATCAGGAATTTATGTGTAGTGATTTTCCCCTTAGTAGAGTGATTTACCCTGTTGCAGGATGGGGGATTTAAGAGACATAGGGGCAAAGATAGAGAGATGAATGAGGTCAAATATTGTAGAAGCAAGACTGGAGGGCAAAGGATAATTACCCAAGTTTTGGAAAACTGGAGGGCACAGGAAAGAATAAAAGAGAAAGTAAAGAAGTATTTGAAGTGAACCAGAAAGAGAAGAGACAGTGTTCACTCACATGAAAATATAAAATAAAGAGATATTTGAAGAAAGAAAGAGATGACAAGTAGAAGAACATAAGAATGATAAGCCCAAATAGTGAAAAAATAAAAACAAAAGCCAAACAAAGGTAATTGTACAAAACAAAATAAAAAATCACCCAACCATACAGAAAAAAAATAGCCCATCAGAGAAACAAAGAAAAATAAAAGTAGAATTCCTCTGGTGTCCATAGTTCTATGGTAGTGTCCAAGTCAGATCCCAGAAAAGTGCTGTGCGCTCTAGCCAAGTTTCTTGTAGGATTTATGCTGTGTGTAGCTTGGCTTTTGGATGTGGGGCCTGGGCCTGGTCTTATGTTTCTTGAGCTTTCCCAGTGCCCTCTGATATGGCGGCACCTCCTGCCTACTTCTGTTCCACAATGTCTGTGTAAAGAGCACACTGGTGGTTCTCCTGATGTAACAATGGCTGGCTCATATTGCCCTGCTGCTTTAGACCTCAGTGCTGCTGGTCCCACCTACTGACGTGTATGTCCATGCCCAGGCTTGCTGTATCTGGCCCCTCTGCTGGCATGTGCCCGTCTTTGCTTTTAAAAAGAGATTTTAATAAATTTCCATATCTTTTTGTATTTAGTGAAAAAAGTGCACTGAAGAAATTTGCCATTGTTACTAAACAAAAGCCTTGAATCAGTGTGTCATCTGCTGAGCCACAGGTTATCTGATTTAAGACTCTTCCTGTATCCATGGAGTAAGCACACATTTCATGCTTGCAAAGAAAGCATAAACAAAATCGTAAATTTAGCTTTCAGTTGATTTCAAAGTGGGCATTTCTATATGTAAGGCAAAAATAAATGTCTTTTGAAATATTTCATAAATTAGTATGTTTTCATATTCTTTTAGGTATATAGAATGCAAATAGCCACAGCACTATATTAAGACATTTATTATATGGCATTAACATTGTGCAGTGTAGGATATTTATTGTACAGCAGTCAGCTAGTTATCTTTGTCACGGGCATATCTGCTTCAGATTTTGGTCAGAACCTGATGATATGAAGAAAGTGTTTTATATGGCTCTATGAGAATTGTTATTTTCTAGAACTCTGTATGCCATCTGAGTTTATGAAGGCTAGCCAGTCTTTTTTCTATCCATTGCAAAGAAGTTTGTGTGTATAAAATATTTGTTTTCCTAATATTTTGTTTTCTCTTGAAAGTAGCCCATCCTGCCTTGTGCAGTGGTTACTGCAGTGGAGCAGGAGGATGTCTAGGTGGTAGATTTTTAACTGTAACAGCATATCTAACCTCTTGGTATTCATGTCCTTGTCTGGTTCCATCTCACACTAACATGGGCTTGACCGTGTGAATTTCCTTTTTT